CTAACACACTACCTTATCTATAATCATTTCCTGGAAGTTCTCCTTTACCCTGCTAGTTGTAAGACCTATAAAGCAAGAGCTATGTCTTAATTATCTTTGTAGCTTCACTGGTTCGGGCTCCTAATATCTGGAAGAAGATCAATGAGTGACTTTGACTTAGTGAGCAAAGGACTTGCCTAGAACTCTGAGCACAGCAGGATAGTATAGGCGTCAGCCCATTGCTTCATTCCTAAAACAAATCTGATTGATAATGCCTTCTTCTCTACAAGGCTATTTTGAAGCAGAATTGAGTTATACATAACATTCTGAGCCTTTCAGAGTTAGAATTACACAAGGCACTTTACCGCTCAGCACTTGTGTAATTTAGTTAGATGACATCTTTTGCCGGAGTCCACTTTAATGTGAAGACTTTATTGCAAGCCTCCTTTAAAAAAATAGTAATAAATGATTTAGCCCTTCTGGTGATTTTAAAATGGCTTAAAAAATTGCAAATCAAAAATGTGCAGAGAAATAAGTTAATTACCTGTCTCTACCACCCCTTGCTCTCTGTTCGTGACCCCGAAGGAAGTTGCTTTCTTTTCTCTGCTCATTTTTGGCTGCCCCCTCCAGGGTGTTGTCAGAATACATTTTACTATTGCATGAAATAAAATCATGGAAATATAGAGCTCTAAGCAAAGATCCTGAATGGTCGCTGGCATGGAATAAGGTCTCAGTAAGTATTTGTGGAGAGAATTAACGACTCTGTGTGATTTCCACCACTGCAGATTACTGCGATAGCCCAGCCAGCTACTGCCCCCGCACCATTGGCACTTTACTACTGCTAGTGGCGGAGAGTTCTTCTGAAGACCACGTGTTCCATCGTCAGCAAACCTCGGTCCTATCAAATGCTACCTTAGACTTCTGTGAGGATGTCTAACTCTGCTGCACAGTTAGCCCCTTCCGTGATGCATTCCTCCAGCATCATAGTCCTTAATTCCTGTGATGTCTGTCTTTCCAGAACAGGAAGACAGAAGTGTTCCCTGTTTCTTTGTGCTCCCAGCTCCTGGTATGGTGTAGAAAGGATTAAAAACCGGAAGGAGGGGATAACAACAATAAGAGGAAAGAATAATGTTAACAATCCATGTATTGACTGACAAATCAATAGTCCCCTGAAGGGATATTTCCACCCTACAATGCGTGTACCAGTGACAACCCATTCAGATTCAGGAAGAAAATCATAAAACTATCTTCATTTATTTTTTAAATCTCAACTATTTTAATTTTTATTTTTGTGTATGTTTTACATTTGTATTAATATAGTTGTACATGAGTTTAATTTGTAAACATATACAGTAATTAGAAGCAACATGTATTAGTCAGCATTTCACTACTATAACAAACATCTGTAATAACCAGCTTATAAAGAGAAAAGGGTTACTTTGACTCACAGTTTTGGAGCTGCTGTCAATCCATGACTGTTTGGTCCCTTTGCTTTTGGGCGTGTGGCAAGGCAGCACAAATCCAGCAACACATGAGAAAACAGTTCACCTTGGGACCAAGATGTAAGAGAGAAAGAGACAGAGATGAAATCCCACAGTCTTCCTCCCGGGTGCACCCCCATGAACTCAGACCTCCCACTAGGCCCTACCTTTTTTATGTTTCTCTCTCCCAGTTAATGCCCTGGGCTGGGGACTGTGCCTTTAACATGAGCCTTTGTGAGACACTTAAAATCTGAACTATAGTATAGCATTTTCTGATAAAGTATCAACTCATAAGTTTGAATACTGCTAGTATAGCTGTTTCTCAAGCCCTTTGCTAAACATTTGATATATACTGTATTATTTGATTTAGCCTACCAAATATTATGTGATAAATGCTATGATCTCCAGTTTACAGAAAAAGAAACTGAGGCATGGAGAGGTGAGGGAATTTTCCTCACCACATTCAGCTGAGAGATGGTAGCATGAAGGCCCAGACTTAGGTCTGCCATTCCTGGCACATCCTGTCTTATTTTCCTGTCTGAGCACCCACATTACAGGCTTGTGGATTAAATGAACAAATTTAGTGGATGAATTAATCATCCTAAATATATATTAAAGAATTCTTAAGAAAAACAATTTTAAAACATCATTTTTCATTTTAAAAGTGTTCACTGGCAACACCAAGCTAACTACCATACGTCTGTGACACTGGGATGTTCAGCTTCATTTCTTGACAGAGAAAAAGTGAAGCAGAGGGCAGCAAGTTGATGTACATTTGGTTGTTTTTGCTTTTTGACTATTAGAAATAATGCTCCTAGAAAGATTCGCGTACATATTGTTTGGTTTGGTTTGGTTTGGTTTGGTCTCTTTGAGACAGGGTCTTGCTATGCCGTTCAGGCTGGCCTTGAACTCACCATGTAGCCCAGACTGGCTTTGAACTTGCAGCAGTCCTGACTCAGCCTCCCCAGTGCTGGGATTACAGGCGTGCACCACCATGCCTGGCTTCCTGTACACGTTTTTGTGTGCGCAGATACTTTTAGTTCTCTGGGTTCATGACTAGAAGTGAATTACCAAGTCCTGCAGTGGCTCTATGCTTAACATTTTGAGAAACTACCAAACTTTTCGAGAGCAGTTACACTGCTTTATATTCCAACCCAGCAGTGCAGAAGGGTCCCAGTGTTTCCACATGCTTGCCAACACTTGTGTTTGTCTGTTTCTGTTATAATCATCCTAATGGAAATGAAGCCTCTCCTCTCTCACTGTGGTTTTGAGTTGCATTTCTCTAATGACAAAGGTTTTGAGTATCTTTTCATGTTTTTATTGTCCCCTCAACTATTTTTGAATTTAATGTCTTTCCTTTCTATTGTCTTTTATGTAGAATATAAATTTTGTTCTTCTTATGACATTCTTTTTTCCCGAGAAACTCTCTCCAAGCATTTTACATACTCATAAATCCTCATACAGATTGCTGGCCTCTCCTGGTGCCAATCTGCCATGAATATAAGAATGTAACTGAGTTTCCACTGGCAACTTTCCAGAAAATCTCCACAGCACATTATTAGATAATAAGATTTTTAAAGCCTCAAATTATGATGATGGTGATACTTTGTTTAAAAAGTATTAAATGACAGAACTAAAAAATGTTTTCAAAAATTATATTTTCTTAACTATTTATATACCTGTGAGGCAAAAAAAAAAAAA